GAGCAGGGGAAGGTCACATCTGGGCACGAGGTGCAGTAGTGGAAGCTGTTCCCTTGGTGTGGGTCTGTGTCTGGTGGCACTGGAGCAAAATTGAATTTCTGTTTAATCTGATTTTCTGTGGGGAGAGCAAGGTGGGATTAATGGAGCCTGAGGAGGTTTCTGTGGGTTCAGGGACCAAACAGTTGAACTCCTGCTCCCCCGGGAAATGCTGGAGTGTGATGTTGGGGATGGTTGGAATGGAGAGCCTGGAACCTGCAGCAGGAATTTGCCCAGGTTTTATTTTCCGTTTTTCTCCCTGCTACACGTTCTAGGGCTCGTCTTTTTAGTGAAATTAAATTCAGTCAGGCTTGGAAGGTGCCCTGAAGGGCGAGCTTGGTGTGGGGTGTTGGAAAGCAGCAGGTGGGAATTGGGATTAAGATGAGCACAAGGAAACCTGGGTTTGAGGCACATCTTGGTGCTCACACTCCTGTCAGGTTATATTGACACCACATTTTATGTTATTTAAAGGCCTCCTCTCCCTGTTCAAGCTGTATTTTATGAGAACCACTCCTCCTTGGATGCTTCAGGCTTAGATCAGCAGTGGGAATAGATAAATCTGACAGTGCTGTGCTGTGGCTGCAGTAACTCAGACCCCAGAGCTCTCTGGAGAGTCCTTGTGTGGATTCCTCAGGCACAGATTCAGTGCCCAAGGGTTTCTAACATCCCTTCTCTCAGTGCACCACTCTGCCCTGTTGGGATAGCACAGGGAACATGTTCTTTTAGGAAAATCCTGGTTCCTGTGCTTGTTTTTCCCCTGACACTGCCACCCCTCATTGCCCAGCACCCTCAGCTCCCTTTGCATCCCTGCAGTGGAATTATCTCAGGAGCAGCCTGTGAAGGGGCACACGCTGTTCCCTTTCCCTCTTGGACCTCTCTGGGACCAGCTGCCTTTTCATTTCTGTTTTATTGGGTTGTTCCAAGGCTGCCAGCTGGATGTAGGTGAGCAGGATTTTCTCTGCTGCAGTCTGCAGGGAACAGAGCATCACCGTGCAGCCATTTAGCCCTGGCAAGTGCTTCCTCTTTTTCCAGATGATTCCAGCAGCTCTTTTTGTGTTCAGCCTATTGTCAAACAGCACCACAAAGACTTGGGGTGTTAATCCTGTCATCTGTTCAGAGAGTGGAGCTGCTGAGTGGGCTGTGCTGTGAGAGAGGAGCTGCAGGTGCTGTTGGAGTTTCTGCCTTTCCCTGGCAGAAACTCTGACATTCCTGGTGGAATGTCAGAACTCCCTCCTGTGTCCCCAGCATTCAGCAGAGAGGGGAATGTGCCAGAGCAAAGGTCTGGAGGTGGGACAGGGCTGGTGGGGAGGCACAGCCCTTCCCTGCATGGCTCTGCCAAGGGCACCCAGAGCAGAGGATAAATGGATTTACCCAAACAGCTCCCAAGGCTGCTGAGCAGGGCAGGTTCATGGTCCTGCAGGCTGGGCCCATCCCTGCTGGGCAGGAGCTGGCTGTGGCTGCTCCAGCAGCATCAGTGAAGCCCAAGGGCCTCTCTGCAGGCTCAGTCTCCCACCAGAGCTGCAGTTCTGTGCTCTGCCTCTCTGCCAGCACTTGGAGACAGCTCCCTGTTCCCCAGGGCTTGTGTCTGCCCCACAAGCACTCCTGTGTCCTTTCACGGGCTAACAAAGAGGGAAAAGCCATTCCCTCAGAAAACATCTGGTTCTTCACACAGTTATTTCACTGCTCTAATTTGGGACCAGCACAGCTGAGGGGCCATAGAGTGGCTGCAAATTGGGTGGCAGGAGCTTCTTAAACCAGAGCAGCTGCCAAAGCATCTTAACATGGAGCTTCTGCTGTGAGAGGAGAGAGAATCCTCTCCAAAGTGCTGACTCCGGGCTCTGCTTCCCAGCTGGTCAGCATTCCTTGGGCCCTGCAGCTTTGGGATGCCTCTCTCCTGAGCACCCAGGAGTGGGGAGGGTTCCTGAGCTGGTCCATCTCCAATCCCAGCAGCTCGAGGTGGTTTTTCAGGGGGCTCAGACAGGGTGGGGAGGCTTGGTTGTGTTGCTGGCACATCCAGGTGTGTTCCCACCCTGAGCGTGAGCAGGGCAGGGAAAAATACGTGGAGCTTGGGCTTCCAGTGGGAAACAAGAACAGAAAGATCCTTTGCATTTCTTTCAGCTGGAAAGTGATGCCAGGAGCTGTTTTTTCTGGGTTTCAGTGGGAGGGGGATTGAGATGCACCTCTGAGTGTGTATCAGGAGAATCTGCACAGGGAAAATGCAGAGCACAGAAAGTAGGTCTGGCTGCTGGCTGTCACTTCAGTGCAGATCAAGTGTGTTGTGGAAATCTTTGTGTGTCTCTTAAAAAAACAAACAAAACAGCAAAAACAAATACAGGAGCATCTGCTTGTGTATAAATAAACCTGGTTTGTTTTTTTTTTTTTCTGATTTTGTAGTTCCCATTACAGCATATGCCAATTTTTCTGGTGTGCCAAAGAGCAGGAATATCTCCAGGAAATGCTCAGGTTACAGCACCCAGATAAAAGCTGCCTGTGCCACCTTTATAGAGACACAGCCAGCAGAGGACAAATGCACTGGGGAACTTGTGGTTACCAGACTTCTCTTCCTGATTTTTGTATGTTTTGCCAAATCCTTTGCTGGCTGGAGGGTGACTGTTGAGACAGCACTGAAAGTTGAGCAATGGTTTGTTAAAAACTCTGCTTGGGCAGGGGGTAAATAATGTGATTTTTTTTTCCAGTGACCACCCTTAGATACCCTCAAGCACTGGTTTGAGCTGGGAGGAAGGGCAGGCAGCTCTGGAAGGATGCTGCTGTCCCTGGGAGTGGAACAATGTCCAGTGATCCCCAGCACAGCTGATGGGACTGGGTTTGTTGTTTATTAAAGACAGACCTTTGCACAGAAAATCCTATTTCTGTACCAATAAAAACACTGCTCCCACAGTTGCTGTTACTGGCAAACTCAGTCACTTGGGTGTTTTTGGAGAAGTGTTTCCTGGGAAGGACTGGATGGTGAGAAAGCTCCATCTGCTTGCATTTTGCTCTGGTGGCACAGATGTGGCTGTGGGACTTTGTGCTTCGTCCCTGAGCCTTTCCCATGGCAGCAGGGACAGGCAGTGCCCTCCTGTTCAGGCTGGCTTGGACCCTCCTTTCTGAGCAGGGAATCATCCTTTGGGTGCCCACTTTGCCCCCAGCTCCCTGGGCTGGTGCAGGGTGGCTTTGGCAGCAGCAGGAACACAGAGCTGCAGAGGGATTAAAAGAAGCTTCTCTAATAAATGCAATTACACAAACATGCTCGAGCCATGTGTCCTGTTTTAATTGCTCCCCAAGAAAAGAGGCATTCCTCGGGGCACTGCTTTTGTCTGAGTCAGAGATATCCCAGTGCCTCAGGCATCCTCTCTGCATCCACAGGAGCTCTTCTGTGCCCTGGGTGGCAACTAACACTGGGCTTCAGATTCCTCTGGAGATCAGTTATCCCTCCAGGATGAAGGGAACTGTGTGCCAGGCAGGGATTTGTGGCTGGCAGAGCCCTTGCTGCCATGCAGACCTCACAGGCAGCTGGCACTGTGGCTCCCTGCCCCGTGGCATTTTTGCCCTCTGAGGTGCCTCTGCTCCATGGAAAGGATCCTTTTGCAACTGGGGATCTTCCCAAGGAAGCTGGCAGGGCTTTGGCTGCCTCTCCACGAGGCAGGAGTTGGGCAGGTGATGGAAGGGGACAGCCCAAGGAGGGCAGGGACCCCCCAGAGATTGTTTTGTGTGATGTGGGGCTGCTCTTGACCAAATAAATGACCATTGTTAGAGGTAAAACATGAATGTTTCTCTTTTCCCTCAAAATTCTCTCCCTCCTTTTAAGGGTTTTTGGTCTGAGGTTTTAAGAAAACCACTAAACATTCCAAGGTTCCTGGTGAGGTGCAAAGTAAAGCAGTAAATGGTCCAGAAAAGCTGATTTTTGACTTCCCCTGTCCCTCAGTGCAGACATTCCCTGAGGTGTCCCACAAGGTAACCTGTGTGCAGCCAGCCCAGCCCTTGCTCACAAGCACCAAATGTTTAATTCAGTGTGTGCCTGTCAAAGCACATTAAAAATGCAGGTGGCACTTGGTGCCTGTCAGCCTGGCACTGTCACAGGGAGATGGCACAGACCTGGCACTCTGGGAGGTGCTGGGAATGCCTGCAGGGGCCTGCCAGCCTGGCACTGTCACAGGGAGACGGCACAGACCTGGCACTCTGGGAGGTGCTGGGAATGCCTGCAGTGGCCTGCCAGGCTGGCACTGTCCCAGGGGGATGGCACAGACCTGGCACCCTGGGATGTGCTGGGAATGCCTGCAGTGGGAGATGGCACAGACCTGGCACACTGGGATGTGCTGGGAATGCCTGCAGTGTCCTGCCAGGCTGGCACTGTCACAGGGAGCTGGCACAGACCTGGCACTCTGGGATGTGCTGGGAATGCCTGCAGTGTCCTGCCAGGCTGGCACTGCCCTGATCCCCCCAAACTCTGCCTTCCTCTCAGCTCCTGGGGATGTGCCTGGGCTGGCTGGGCTGGGCTGGCTGCTCTGTGCTTCTCTTGTCTGTGTTCACCTCCATCCTGCTGGGTTTAGCCCCAGTCCCAAGGATGTCCCAGTGGGAGGTGAGGTTTGCACACACCTTTTGTGGAGTGCCTGGAGCTGTGTCTGTGTGCCCAGCTCCTGGCACAGACACATCCCAATCCCCCAGCTCAGTTCAGCATCTCACTGTGCAATTCCCAAGGAGAAATTCATGTGCAAGTGCAGTTTGAAAAGAGATTCAAACCCATTTCTGCAGCCTTCAGGTGAGGCTGAGTGAAGTTCATAAACACCACAAGGGTGAAAAGAGATTTCCTAGGACATGAGAGAGAAAACTCAACTCTCACTGGGCCTGTATGAAAACACTGGGAATTCCAGGTGTGTCCTGTGGAAAGGGCAGCTTTGGAGCTGGAGAACAGTTGCCTCTTTCCTCTGAAGCAGCCAACTGAGCTTTGTTTTCTTGCCTTGCAGTCCTTCCAGGGCAGCCAAGGACGAGCGTACCTCTTCAACTCCGTGTGAGTACCCAGCGCGCGCGGGGGGGTTTAACAAAACCCTCCTGGAAAAGGGAAAAAAAACCCCATTTCCTTCAGAAAAACTCTGCCTGGGAGTTGGGAGCTTCCTGCACATGGCTGGAGGAAGAGGCAGAAACAGCCCCTGATTCATTTTGGAGTCGTGTAGGGGTTTCAGATAAGCAGCAAGGAAAAGGTGATTTTTTTCGTCACCAGCTTGAGGAACCAGAGCTAATGGCTGAGTCATTCTCCTCTCCCAGGATGTAGTGGGACCAGAGAACCAGAGTTCTCTAAATGTGGAGATGGATGATATCTAAATATGCACTTCATAAAAACTGAGTATAATTTTCCCAGTGACTGGAAATAGTTTTGGGGAGGTCACTGCTGCTCTGTCTTTCAGCACAACTGCTGATTTTAGTCACATTTTTCAATTTTCCATTTGGGAAAGTAAAAGTACCATTTTATCAATTTTGAGAATGACAATCTCTCTCAAATGCCTAATTAGCACAAGTGACTAGAGTGTTATTAATCTCCTGCTCAAAGCTTTCATTGAGTTTTTTAGTTGAATAAAAAAATCCCATTTTACCTTTTCGTTCTGCTCTGGAGTTGTTCTGGGCACAGCTGGGAAACTCAGAACCTCCTGCTCGTGTTTTCAAACACTGCAGTGAAATCATTGTCAGCTTTTTTGGAGCATCCTGACGTGGAAGGGCACTAATGGGGAGCACGTGTGCTTTGTCCCAGAGTTAACGTGGGCTGTGGCCCTGCAGAGGAGCGGGTGTTGTTAACAGGACTGCACGCCGTGGCAGATATTTACTGTGAAAACTGCAAAACCACGCTGGGCTGGAAATATGTGAGTATTTGTGTCCCTGCCTCTGCCCCTGGGGCAGCTCTGCTCCAGCTGAGGGGGTGGAAGGGTCGTTTTGAGAGCCCAAAATGCAGGTTTTCATCCGTGACCATCTTGTTTTCCTGCTGCCTTGTGTGTGTTGCATTTAGAGAATCAGCTTTAATGTAATTTTATTTTCATTAAGAATTCACACCTGGTTTTGGTGGGTGCCCCTCAGTGAGCTTTAACATAAATGAGGATAACTTCAGTCCTGTGGTTGACACTTCTTGTCTATTATTCTGTTAGATGTTATCAAGGTTAATAATGGAATACTCCATTAATCCTGTGTCCTTCCCACTGGAAATGCTGTTGAACACGAGTTTATCTGTTTGCTCTTCAAAAATTCAATTACCTTCCAATAAAATCCAATGTTGCCTCCTAATTTCTGCTTCTGGAGGCCCACACCATTTTGTCCAAACGTTGTCACCAGTGTCTGAACTGGTGCAGGATTTAATATTCTAGAAGCAGGATTTAGGGTTCTAGAAACAAAATTTAGTATTCTAGAAGCATGATTTAAGATTCCATAACCAGGATTTAGGATTCTAGAAGAGCAATTTAAGATTCCAGAAGCAGGATTGGGGTTCTATAAACAGGCTTCAGTATTCTAGAAGCATGTTTTAGTATTCCAGAAGCAGGATTTAGTGTTCTAGAAGCATTATATAAGGTTCCAGAAGCAGGATTTACTATTCCAGTCTCAAGATTTAGGATTCTAGAAGCAGGATTTAATATTCCATAAGCATAATTTAATATTCCAGAAGCATGATTTAGTATTCCGGTCTCAAGATTTAAGATTCCAGAAGCAGGATTTAAGATTCCATAAACAGAATTTAAGATTTCAGAAGCAGCATTTGGGATTCCAGAAGCATAATTTAAGATTGCAGAAGTAGGATTTGGGATTCTGGAAGCAGGATTTATGACTCCATAAGCAGAATTTATGACTCCATAAGCAGAATTTAATATTCCAGAAGCAGGATTTGGGACTCCAGAAGCAGGATTTAAGATTTTTTCCCTCCCAATTTTCCTGAGAGCCAACAGGAAGACCTGCAGTTGACTTTGTCTCTGTGGGCAAGGCTCAGACTTGCACCAGCATTCCCAGATCTGATCCATGACGTGATTCCCACCCAAACTCCACCTCAATCTCACTCTGCTTCTGGTTTCATTTCAGGAACACGCTTTTGAAAGCAGCCAGAAGTATAAAGAAGGCAAATACATCATTGAACTAGCTCACATGATCAAGGATAATGGCTGGGATTGAGTGCAGGGCCAGCCCCAGCAGCGTGCACGAGATGCCATCTGAACATTATACCCAAGAGTGAGAGAGTGACTGAACGCTTGGTTCCATGCATTTAGAGGCTCTGCAATCCAGGAGCATCTTCACACCCTTCTCCATCTTTATTGGTGACTGGCCTCTAAATTTCTGTCTCTCTGTCTCTTTGCTTTGTATCTGTTTGTGAGTTGACCCTGGCTGCTTCTCTCTCTGTTCTGGCGTTGGCTCAGAGAATGCACCGAATGCCCGACAGCCATTCCATGTGCCCAGTGCTCAATCCAGCCTGACCTGGGCTCTCCTGGCACCTCCCAGGTGGGGGAGGAAGACCCCGAGGTGTGGGCAGGAGAAGGTGGGAGAGGGGTGGGGAGTGGGGCCGGCAGGGGAGCCGTCGGAGGGTGATGCTCTGCTTCTCCTTTCAGTCCTGGGCGAGCAAGGCTTGAAACCATCTCCTTGTCCAGATGGACAGAGAAATACCTACTTGTCTAAATGGATAGAGAAATATCCACTTGTCTAAATGGATAGAGAAATATCCACTTGTCTAAAAAGGACAGAGGAATATCTCCTTGTCTGAAAGGACAGAAATTACCTCACGGCTGCGTTTTCTCTCCGAATCCATCGGCGGAGCCTCAGCCCGAGGCAGAACCAGTTCCCCCCACAATCTGTGTTTCCTTTGCTATTTATGAACTCCTTGTTGGAGGGGGCAGGGCCTGGAGGCTGGAGAGATTCCCTGCCTCTCCTTTTTCTGGCTGGTTCAGGGTAGGGAGGCTGAATGTCCCAGTGGAGCGCGGCCCTGGGGAGCGTCCCCGCGGCTGGAGAAACCAAATCCTGACTCGTGAGCCCTTCAGAGAGGAGGAGAAAACCACTTCAGGCACGAGGAGGCTGGAGCTGCAGCCTGGAAAATGTGGAGGGGTGAAAAAAGGCACGTGTGAGGCAAGGAGGGGGAAATTCCATAGAGGAGGATGGGGACACGCAGTGACAGAGGGTACCCCTGGATTTCCTGGCCTCCCCTGAGCACCCTTGGTGGTGTTTTACCAATCTTTCACAAGTGCAAGGAGGAAAATGCTGTTACAGAACATTTTCCTGGAATGCCAGGCTGCCCTGGGGGGGCCTGGCACAGAAATGGGGCGAGGAGGGAGCTGAGTTGCTGGCAGTGGTGTTGCACAGATGGATATTTCAAGCCCTGAGGTATCCTCCCCAAACTTTTCCCACTCCCAGAAATCCATTTTGCAGGCACGGGGAGAATGGGAAAGAATAAAAGAAATTCAACATCTTCCCACCACCCCTGGAATGATCTGTTGAGGGGGGATGTGGGTGTCAAAACTGCAAGGGACAGCGAGTCCTTCCCATTTCCATTTGTCCCTGGTGATTCCCGAGGGGATGTGGGGAGGGGGTGTCCTGTGTGACATCAGGTCAAAATGAAATGAGGAGTTTGCTCTGCAGCAGTCCAGCCAGTATCTGGTGCATAACCCAGGACTATGGAGCTGAGTTCGTTTTGTCTCTCCCCGAGTGAATTTTTTTCTTTTTGTTGGCAGAATTCTTCCAAGTAGGTTAATCCATGGGGGGAAATCTTCCTTAATCCAGAAGGAAAGCGTGTTGTGCAGGGGGTGGTGGCTCCTTAGGAAACAGAAGCTTTGGAGCTGTGATCTCTCATCGCTGGCCCCCAGCCCCGAGAGATTCCAGGGGGCTGTGGAGGAGTCATTGGATGTTCACTTGGCAGGGAATGGGAACAGAGACTGTCCTTAAGGATCAGGCTGGAATTTAGGGTTGGATCCTTGTGCTGAAAGCCAAACCTGATGAAGCAAAGGTTGGTTTTTTTCTCTCTCTCAAAGCTGTTCTTGACAGCCTTGGAGAAATGAGGTGGAGTTGGCCGGGCTCCTGCAGGGGATGGAGTTTGTGACCAACCTGTCCAGAGGTGGCTTCTGCCCTCACCCTCCTGCTCTGGCTGTGTAACAATTGCTTCAGCTTTTGTTTTGGATTGTCTCTGCTTCTGCCAGCCACATTCCCTCTGTGACAAATCCAGCAAAAATCAAAAATTCCACAGCACCTGCTGTCTTGTGGGCTCTGGCACTGCCCTGGTGCCATTCCCTGTCCTTTCATTGAGGATCCATGGCAGTTTATTGGGTTTTGATAGTGGGAAGTAATTCCTGTTCTTCAAAGAGCTCTTTAGTCTGCACAGAGCCTTTGAAGGAGCTGGGAGAGGTAAGGGATCATCCCAAACCCTGTGAGGCTGAGAAGAGCACACAGGGCTCATGGTTTGATGTTGGTATTTGGAGTGACTGCTGATCAAAAAGCAAAATAAAAGGCAGGGCTGTGCAGAGAACTGCTCTGAGAAATGCCAGCTCCAGAGAGCTGGAAATGTTTTTATCCCTTCATTTGGGACAGAAAAGGACAATGCCCCATCAGACCTGGCTGGTTTTTACTGGTCACAGGTGTTGGGCTTTTAATGGCAACCAGTCCAAGCTTGAATAGGGCGAGGTCTTAATCTGCTTTTAATTGGTTTTGTCCTGTCAGTCTGGTGCTCAGAGCCTTGAGCCCTGGTGGAGCCCAGTGTGTGTGGCTGTGCCTGTCCCCAGCAGCCAGAGAACTCCCTGGGGAGTGGCTGTGCTGTCCTGCACAGGTGGGAGAGGAGAAACTGTCCTTGTGCAGCTCCTGTGTGTGTCCAGGGAGCAGGAAGAGCTTTGGCTGCCTGCTGATCCCCCTGGGAGCTGGGGGCTGGCAGGAATCTGGGAGCTGTGCTGGTGACACAGAGTGACACACTCCGAGATAACCAAAGAACTTTTCTGCTGAGCTGAGCCAGGTGGGGCCTTTTCCCAGGAGAAGTGGAGGTGTGGCCCGTGGGAGCTGCTTTCCACGGGCAGCAGTGAGATTTCCTCCTTTTTTTGGTGTCCAGCCTCGTGTCTGGGCAGCTGTGAGCACCCTTGAGTTTACATCCCCCCCTCTACCCCAAAGCTCAGACTTGATTAAGTTTTAAATTGTTTTTGCTCTGGTGTGAAATCCTGACCCCTGTAAGAAATATCCAGATGATAATATATACAAGGCAGAAGAAAAAAATAACCCCAGACGTTACCTTGTGAAATATACTTTTGTAAATAATATTTAATTTTTTTTTTAAAGAAATAATATATTTGGTGCTGTTTTCTCAGAGCCCCTCCCTGAGAGCACTTTTTTTGTTGTTGTTGTCGTTTATGATGATCCTGTTTCCTTCTGTATTTGTTGGAAAATATGTTTAAAGGGAAACAAAACCCATCATTTACGTTGTCCTCTGAAGTGGATCCGTGTTTCCTGTGGATGTGGCAGGGGAGGGGACAGATTTGGTGGCTGGGCTGGGAACAGCAGCCCCCAGGGGGGATATTTGTGCTGGAGGGGCTGCAGGCACTCAGGAGGGCTCCGGTTCCCCTGTGGCTTTCCCAGATCCCCTTTGCTCCCAGCAGGAATCCCCTGGGCTCCCCCTGTCCCTGGTGTGGAGGATCCAGGCCCGGAGTTTCCCCTTGCACCAGGGTTGGCTGGAGTGCAGCAGGTCTGGAGCTGCAGGAGTTGGGTTTGGACAGGAGCTGCAGCAGGGATGGAGGATGGAGCTTTGAACCCAGTGTTGATTTTAACCCAAACCACAAATCTTTGGATCCTGGTTTTATTTTTTGAGGGGAGTTTCTTTTCGTTGTTGTTTTGTTTTGTTTATTTTTTTGAACCAGGCTGCTACGTAACAAATTAGAGTAAAAGTTTACCTCTCTTGGCAGTAAAGTTCATTTATTTTGTTCTCCTTTCTGTCTTTAATCTGCCCCCTTCTCACCCTCCTTCATTTTTATTTCATTCGGTCTCTTGTTTATCCCAAAGTGGACCAACAGCACAAACCACTGGACTGTGTTTTGCTGAGCAAGGAGCTGTTCAGGAACTGTTGCAGTTCTTGAATTCCCTGGGTTTGGTGCACACGACTTCAAAGCCCAGAGGAACAAAACCCCCCCTGCGAAATGAACCCCGCTGTAATCGCGATGATCAAGTGAGAATTCTCTCTCTGTGTGCGTTTTCCTGACTGCTCTGTGAGAGTGTGTGGATCATGCATTTCACTGCACTTCCCTGCTTTGGGAGGAGCTTCCAGGTGAAGCAGTTTTGGGATGAAGAGGGGACACCAAACACCAAGCTCAGCTCAGTGGGAAGGAGCTCTTCCCACCACGGGAGAGGCCTCAGTGCTCAGAAACAATCAGGTTAGACAGAGATTTTCTGCAGAAATCCTGGTGAAAAAGAACAAGCAGAAGAGGGGGAACGAAATCATCTTGAATTCAGAAAAATAAATAAATAAAGAATCAACATATTTAAATGCAAGCAGAATGGCATTGTGTAAGGTACAACCACAAATAAGCTGTTCTCATCGTTACGACTGTGTGTATCCTTTGTTTTGTTCTTCCTAAGGAAATGGGAATGCTTTCCCCACTGACAAAACTAAGGACAATATTTCCAATACCAGCCTGTCTATGGATGCTCTTGTGTTTACAAATTGTGTATATTTTTATTTCTTTGATCTTATTTTAATTTTTTTTTTTTTTGCATATTCTTTCAGGTCATTTGCTTCAGTCATAAATGCAATTGTTTGTTTTCAAATAATTGGTTTTCACCTTTTCATGTATTTGTACATTGTATATAGTTCTTCAGTATTAGAGGGAGGCGTATTGTTTGTCATATTTACAATATGTGTTGGTGCTCATTTGAGAAAATAAAATTTTCAAGTACTAAAGCTGCTGGTGCAGGTTTCTGCTTTTATTCTGTGCAAATCCCTGAAATCCAGAGGTGCTCCCGGGGGATGGGAAACAGCAACTCCTGCTGCTGCACCTCAGACACCTCCACAGCTGGAAGGCAGTGCTGTGTTTGGGATTTTGGGGTGGGTGCATGCAGTCCCTGCTCATCACTGCTGGAGGTGGCAGGGCCCTGTGCCCTGTCCCTGTCCCCATGGCCCTCTGTGCCCTGTCCCTGTCCCCATGCCCTCTGTGCCCTGTCCCCGTGCCCTGTCCCTGTCCCTGTCCCCATGCCCTGTCCCTGTCCCCATGCCCTCTGTGCCCTGTCCCTGTGCCCTGTCCCTGTCCCCATGCCCTCTGTGCCCTGTCCCTGTGTCTGTCCCTGTCCCTGTCCCTGTGCCCTCTGTGCCCTGTCCCTGTCCCCGTGCCCTCTGTGCCCCGTGCTGCTGAGCACCCTTAATTCCCCACGGGGCCAAAAAAGCCACTTAACCCTGTTTGGGGACAGCTCAGAGCTCAACTCAGAGCCTGACCTGGGGCTGAGCTCAGGCCACGGCCCGAAAGCTGCACCTGAGAGGGGCTGGGGATTCCTGGAGCTGGGAAAGGCCAGGGAAGGTGGGATGGGAGCGACGCCATGGCCTGGGCAGTGGGACAGTCCCTGCAGTGGGGTCAGAGCTCTTGCTTTACCAAAACCTTAATTTGCTCCTCTTGGCCCCACAGCAGCCTGGGTGTGTCCCTGAGAGACACTGTCCCTGCCCTGGGGACAATGGCATCCCAAAAAATCACCTGCAGGGTCTGTGGGCAGCTCCTGGCGCTGGGCTTGTTCCTACAACCCCACTGGAAAAGCCCGAAGGTTTTAACCCTGTGTGGTGCGGGCAGTGGGAACCCCCTGGAGTGGGGAGGGGACAGCAGATGTGGGGACATTTCTTGTTCCCCATCCCAGCCGCGAGTCCTGCAGGGAAAATCCCGCCTGGAAAAAGCGTCCTGCTCGGCATTTCCCACCGCGAGCATCCCAGTGACAGCAAGGGGGACAGCTCCAGGCTGTCCCTGAGCAGTGGCCTTGGGAAGAGCCCCCAGATCCCTGTCAGGCCGTGGGATGGAGGTGGAAAACGCCAGGACCGCGTGGAACCCCCGGGGCTGGGGGGCAGCGGGACCGGGCGGCTCCCGCATCCCGGGGCGGGGAGGAAGCAGCCGCGGGTGGGGATGCGGGACAGCCCCTCCCCGGCTCTTGATTAACCTGCAATTAGCGCCGGGCCGAGCCGAGCGGGGCTATTAATAGCCCGGCAGAGAGAGCTGAGTCAGGCGGCGGCAGCCCCGGGCTCCGGCAGCAGCTCTGCGAGATGGATGGATGGATGGATGGATGGATGGATGGATGGGTGGATGAGGGATGGATGGATGGATCCCCGGTCCCCGTGAGGTGACAGCGCTGCCGGGTCACCGTGGCCAGAGCACGGGCTATAAAGAGCAGCGGGGCCGAGCTTGGGGCAGCTCCCGACTCCTCTCTCATCCCACCGGCCACAATGAGGGATTTTTTTTTTTTTCAAAGGATGATCACGAAGCTAAAAATACAGCAGCGCCAGTGGCCTTTAATCCCGGTTCAGGAGCAATCTGACACTCCTGCTCTGCTTCCCAGGCGGCTTTTGGGGACACGGGGACGCTGCCAGCTCCTCTCCGTGGGTTCACTCCATCCCTTTCCTCCTGCACTCGGGGTCCAGCCTCACGGATGCCCCCGGGCTTCCCCAGCGCCTCCTTTCCCAGCGGGACCGCGGCTCCCTCCGAGCGGGATTTCGCTGACAGGGAGGATTTACAGTAGCGCCTTCAGGCTGCCAAACACGCCGGGGATATTTTTACCCGGCTCCAGGGTGGGGTATAAATAGAGCCCAGGCCGTTCTCTGTTGCTGACCGAGAAATGTCCCACAGAAGCGGGCCAGGCACGAAGGAAATGTCACCTGAACGTGGTCACCCCTGCGGGGACTCTGGGGGAAATAACAGAGCCCTGCTGCCACCCCTCTCCATGTGGCCCCCAAAACCCACAGGGTCCTGCTCTGTTTTGGGGAATCTGGGGGTGTTTTGAGCACAGACTTTGTCCAGGGATGGACAAATTTATTTATTTGCCTTTAATTAAACCTCTCCAGGATTAAATCCCTCCATCTGTCAGGGCACCCCAAGTCTGTAAAGGGGATCAGCCCTGTGAGGGCAGCACTGAGGGGACTCAGGGAAGGACAGCAGGGACAGAGGGTGACAGACATCACCAGCTCGACTTCTGTGAAAAAAAAAAAAAAAAAAACAAACAACCCAACCCATGGAGCTTTTCCAGGCTGGCCTGTTATTTATGGCTCGGGATCAAGCAGCTGCTCCCGGCGGGGGCTGCCCCGCGCTGGGCACAGGGAAGGCTCAGACGTTTGTTCCCGGTGTATGGAAACTTCTGATGAGGTGAAGTGAAACGCTGGGGGAAAAAAATCATAAAATCCTTTCTTTAGCAGGGCGCGACCTCGCCCCGTGGAGCTGTGCCCCTGGGTGAAGGGCTCTGAGCGAGGCTTTGGACGCCTGACAGAAACAGCAAACGCTATAGGAGCGCTTTTATAGAGCTCTGCTTCCTCGTGAAAGCCAGGCTGGTGTTTTCTTTTCCACTTGGACAAGGATTTTCCCATAATTGTGCTATTTTTATGTAGGTTTCAGACAGAAACAGAGGGCCTCTCCCAGCCAAGCCCTGGTGCTGGAGGAGCTGGAGCACGGGAGGGTTCAGCCTCTGACGCAGGTTCCTCATCTTTGCCAAGTGCCTTTGCTGGCAGATGTCTCACCCTGGGGAAATGGGGGATTTGCTCCATCTCTGCCTCACAGGGATTTTTCTTTTTTGGACTTTCCTGCCTGGAGATGAACCGTGGTGCAGATGCTGCCTGAACCAGGGGGAAGCAGCAGAGCCTTCGTGGCACAAAATGGGGGCTCAGCCAAAACTCCTGCTCTGAGGACACAAAAAATGAATAGCTCAGCAGTCAGCATCAACTTCTGACAGACAAGGGGCCCTTATCTCCCCCCGGGCAGCTCATCAACACCCCAATCACTGCTGATGAGGCAAAGGGTAGGGAAACACCAGGAGTGATGGCCACCAGCCATGCCCATCACCAGTGCCTCCCCCATCCCCAGGTTTTGCTGGTTTCTGGATATATTTTTGCTGGGAGGCAGCTTTTTTTGGAGTGCTGTTTGCTGCTGGAAGCTCAGCTGGGTTTTGCTGCTCAGTGCTGTGGCAGGTCAGTGGGAAGGAGCCAGGTGGGAGCAGGTTTTATGGGGGGAAATGAAGTGGCTGAAGGGTTGAGGCTGTGTTATGTTTAATTTGAGGATTTGAGCTGCTGTGGCTCCATGTGCCCGGTCTTTGCTGCTGGAAGCTCAGCTGGGTTTTGCTGCTCAGTGCTGTGGCAGGTCAGTGGGAAGGAGCCAGGTGGGAGCAGGTTTTATGGGGGGAAATGAAGTGGCTGAAGGGTTGAGGCTGTGTTATCTTTAATTTGAGGTGGGATTTCTGTCTGACTGCTGGATTTGAGCTGCTGTGCCCGGTTCTGGGGGCAGCAGGAGGAGGCTGTGAAGGGGGACTGTTGATGCAAATCCTTTTGCAGGCTTGTGGAGGTGAATTTAATCTTTAGAAGCCTGGTGGGAATGAGCTCTCCCGGGCTGGGAGCTGCCAGCAGCCGGCCAGCTCCGCTGCCGGCGCCTGGAGCCATTAGCAGGGCACTAATAATGTCCTTTATTAAATCACAGCCACGTCATCAGCTGCACTTGGGGATGTGGCTGCTTGCACGTCCCTCCCCAACCTGCCTGCTCCTCTGGGTGCTGTGGGAATGGATTTTTTCCTGTGGGTTTTCAGCAGTTCTTTGCTCCGGGGATCCATCCTACAGAAGGAGCTGATTTTTTACTCAATTCATCCACAGGTCCTGGTGTCCGCTGCCGGCGCCTGGAGCCATTAGCAGGGCACTAATAATGTCCTTTATTAAATCACAGCCACGTCATCAGCTGCACTTGGGGATGTGGCTGCTTGCACGTCCCTCCCCAACCTGCCTGCTCCTCTGGGTGCTGTGGGAGTGGATTTTTTCCTGTGGGTTTTCAGCAGTTCTTTGCTCCGGGGATCCATCCTACAGGAGATGTTTTTTTACTCAATTCATCCCCAGGTCCTGGTAGCCTCAGATACACAGGGAGGTTTTTTTTGGCTCTGTTTGCTGTCAGCAGGAGAGGGTCTGTGAGCTCCTGAGTGAAATCCCTTGTGCCAAATCTGAATTCCCCCCAAAATACAAATAATTCAGCCCAAACTGGGCTCTTTTGATCTTTGTACCTGCCTTGGACCAGGCCAGGCTTTGCTTGGGTTTACTGGAGCTGCTTCTGTGAGCCCCCATCACAACCAGCTCTGAACATGTGCATTCCATGCCCAAAGTTCCCAATCCAAAACTATTTGGGAACCAGGCAAGGTTCAAGCCTTAGGAAAACCCCACCCTTGCTGGAGCTGCTGGCTAACGGGGACAGGGCTCCTTTTGGATTAGTTGCCCACAAGCAAGAAAAGCTATTTTGAACCAGAGGCTGGGAATGTTTGAGCTAATCCCAGGTGGAAGCTGATTAAGGGCTCGTGGGGGGAGATTTGGAGCAGATCCTGGTGGCACAGGGAGCCCAGCTGCCCTGCCCGGCCAAACCACCCCAATCTCCAACGAGTGAGAGGAGGTGAAGCTCAGCCCAGACATTCCCGAGGTGTTGGAGGGGATTTCTTTGCACAAACCCTTGCCAAGGGCTGTGGAGCTTAATCCTGACCTTTGGCAGCAGTTGGGTGCTGGGAGAGCTCTGTGCTCCTTTCCAGGCTGGGGAGCAAAGGGATCACGGGGGCACCTTCCTGAGCCCTTCAGCTCCATGGGAGCTGGCAGTGAATTAATCCTGTCATATCCCAGGGAAATATTGAGATTTTGGCCATCATTTTCAGGGGCTTGTAAGTTTTTCTGGTGGAGATTCGCACCCTGGGCTGGGAG